CAAACTCCAGAGAGAGAGAGAGAAACCTTCTCCTGCCTGCCCCAGGGCAAACTACTTCAAACGAATTCGTTTCGCTCTTGTGAAACTGAAGACAATTTCCTTTTCTGTCATAAAACAAATTATTGCTCATCAGGAGTGCTGGGCTAGTCTCTCTCCCCAGGGTTTGCTCCTGCTCCCATGCAGGGCCCCCAGGTGGGCAGGAAGATGGGGAGTGTCTGGGGAGGGCCCCCCGCCCCCCCCCCCCCCCCCCCGCACCAGCACAGGAGGGGATTCACCGGGAGGCCCCCTGAGGAGGGGTGGGGAAGAAGGTAAGATTAATGTTCCCATCAGGAGTGAAACAGGCTGTATCCCCTTCGTCAGCCTCCCCCACTGACCAGGGGAAGGGCCCAGGACCATCCACTGGCCCTAACCACCAGCACTGAAAGGGACCCGAGAGATCATCCCATCCATCACCCTGCCTCAGAGCCAGCCTGGGGGAACCTCCACCTCGTCCCTCAGTCCCTCAGGCACCTGTTCTCGTGGAGTGGAGGGGCGGGGACAGGAAAGGGAGGCCCAGAGAAGCTGAGGAACTTGCCAGAGATCACTCAGCAAATTAATTAATGGCAGATCCAGGATTAGAATCCAGTGGGTTCTCTTCTAGGCCATGACTGGAGGATGCCTGGGGACTTTTGTTAGCACTTTTTATGACTCTGGATTTGCTCCAGTCAGCCCAGGGCATCCAAATACTCCTATTAGGCGGTAGGGCTCAAGAAAGAGGGGACCGACCGATGGAACAGGTGCCCTCCATCCTCAACAACTGGCTCCCAAAGCAAGCCTGTGCCTCGGTAAACTCCTCCTGGGAACCTCTGGTCCTAGACCCTCCAGAGAAGCCATCAGACTTTCTCTCTTCCTGCCTGGCCCCTTTCTCTTCACTGGCCTGCAACCTGGGCCAGAGGTCAGGGAAGACACACTTCTTTCTCCTTCAACTCTTGCCAGTTCTTTCTCATCACCTCCCCTGATAATCACCCTCAACTTCTCCCTCTTTTCTTCAATCCCTGCTGTCATGGACTTTTCTGGGGTGTTTCCAGCCAGTGACGGGGTGGGGGGAGATCTAAGCCCCATCCTCTGAGAACTCCTGGCTTACCTAAGCAAGACCCAACACATGCCAGGAAAGACACTGGAAGGCTCTGGCTGAAAGAATGGGGGGGCATCGGGACTGGGGAGATGGGCCAAGGCAGGAGGGAGGAAGCGAGGCCAGGTGAGGGCTTCCTGGAGAAGGACAGAAGGAAGATGTGGGAAGGTGTTTGGAGTAGGAGATCTGAGCCGCCGCAGGACTCTTGGAGATGAAGAGGAAGACGGGCCCTGGTTGGGGAGGCATCACGGTGCCCGGGAAGGGACTGGGGCCCAGGACACAGGGTCAGGCAGGCAGCTGGGAGGGTCCAACAGCAGCAGTCATTTCCAGTGATGTGGAAACCCAGCTTTAAGCCAGGGTGGATGGAGAAATGTTTGGGACTGGCTCCCAGACCGGAGCAGCCAGACATCTGTGGGGAGCAAAGCTCTGGGGATGGCGTCCGTCTGAGGGCGGAAGGGAGACTGGAGAAGTCACCCAGCCCACCTCTCTGCCTCCAGGCACACCGTTCCATTCCCTCCCTCCCAACCCGCTGGCCAGCACTCTTTTGGCTCCCAGGAAAGTGGAGCCTACCACCTGTCCAAGTTCCCCACTTGATAACACCCCTAAAAGTTCTTCCTTGTATCCGACCACAATTCCCCTGGTGGCCAGCGGAGGGCTGGGCAAGGAGAGGGGCAGGAGGGAGATGGCAGGCAACTGACCCCCCCCCCCCCAGTGGTTTCCCCTTGGCGGAGAGAGAGACAGGGAGGAGGAGGTGAGTAGAGGGCAGGGCTGGGAGAGGATCATGTCGGGGCGAAGACTCTGGCTCATCGGACACGCCACGCTGGGAATCCGAGAATCCGTGGTGGGAATGGGCCGGGCTGGCAGGAACAAAGGATGAAAGGGAGGTTATGCGGCCGGCTGGGGACGTACACACCCACTGCTGACGTACTTCAGCGCTGTGACCTCAGCCTGCCGCCGTCAGACCCCATCTTATCGCGCTGCTCCAGTGGGGTCCCCCTGCACCCAGCCCCTTAACAGGGCCTGAGATCACAAGGGAAGTCAGTTAGACTCCCAGAAGGACCTGCCGTGAGGGTGAGCTTGGGGAGTGACCTTTCCTAAGATGGACAGAGTCAGAAGAGGGGATGTGGGAAGGGGCCGGACATGACAAGGCTTAGAAGGAAAGGGGGGAGGGGCGCTCAGTTGGTTGGTTAAGCATCGGACTCTTGATTTCAGCTCAGGTCATGATCTCAAGGTTCCTGGGATTGAGCCCACATTGGGCTCTGCGCTGATAGCGTGGAGCCTGTTTGGGATTCTCTCTGTCTCTCTCTCTCTCAAAATAAATAAACTTAAAAAACATTTTTTTTAAAGAAAGAAAGGGGGGGAAGGGATGGGGGAAAACTGTGATGCCAGGGCCCCCTGGCTTGAGGATCAGAGTAGCCATGGTCAAAGGTTCGTGTCTATGTAAGGATTCTGACAATGGGAGGGCAGGGCCCTGGTTGGCCTGGAATATAGAGGATTTGGGTTAGACACTGAGAAGAACGTCCTTGCTTTTTTGTAGTAGGACCCCTGAGTGCAGAACCCCACCGACAACATGGGAAGTGTACAATCGTGCATCCCGTGCACGGGCAGGTGGCCACCTGCCTATACAGCCAGTCAGGGAGCTCGGACTCTCCCCCCACAGCTCCCCGGACCCACCCAGCTTCCTGTGCCTCCCAAGAAAACCATCACCAGCACGTCACCTGGTCCCTGGGACTAGCGGGGATGTGGAGGACTGTGGTGTTAGGGTGGAGGCTGCCTCCCACTTACCCCACTCTGGGCAAGGGATGGGCTCTCACCCTTTTTCTCTGCCAGCCTTGATGCGAGGGGCCTGGGAGGGCAGAAGCCCCCTGACTGGGAACCTCATCTGCTTCTAAAGAGCTCACCATCGCTGGAAGCCCTAATCAGACCCTCAGGTGCAGCCACACCTGCCCGGGCCCTCCCCTCTACCCCTCACACCTGCAGACACAGATGGATACGGCTCCTCCTGTACAGAGTTTCACAAGTTATCACACAGGCAGATTCTCTGTCCTCACACACACTCACACACACACACACACACACGCACGCCCCTCCCTTACCCACACACCCTCCTGGGTTATCACTCACTGAGAGGCTCATTCAGACCCTGGTGCAACTCCACTCCTCACACACCGGCAGCAACCGCTTGTGCATGCACGTGTGCACACCCACACACCCCCTCTCGTGTTGCTGTGACACACGGCGGTCGCACACACTCTTCAGGCTGCCACAAGACCCTTCCCCGTTCCGGAGGAGCCCTGGGCTCCTGCGCGCCCATCACACGCTCCACTCCCACATGGCCTTCCGCGTAGTGAGCACCTGCTATGTCCCAGGCCCGGGGCTGGAGACAGATACAATATGGTGCCTCAAGGGATTTGTTTTTTTGGCGAAGGGAGACTAGGGCTAATTAAACAGATTGTTGCAAAGCAGTGCAGCCAGTGCTGGAAGAGGAGTAGGGATAGAGGACTGTGGAGACTAACTCAGTCTTGGGGGTCCAGAGAGCCTTCCCACCCATGGTGGACAACTTGCCCATGCTCACACAATCCCCTGCTAAAGGCTAAGTGTTTTATGCGCATCGTCTCATCTGTTTTTCACCACCGCCCCGTGAGGTGCGTGTGCATATCCCCATTTTACGGGAGAGAAAACAGAGGCTTAAATAAGCCAGAAGCAAAGTCATGCAACCCATAAAGCAGCGCAACCCAGATTCCAGCCCAGAGCTGCCTGAATCAGAGCCCATGTGCTCACGGCCACCATTAAACCGCCTTCGTCATAGATTTGAACTTTCACGCTCATGAGGCCCTCACCTGCTCCCTGGTGCCTCCCAGCAGCCATCCTAATGCTACCCAGACCCTCCGACTCCCAACCCTCAGGGACACACACAGGCCCACCTTCCAGCCCCCTGCTCTCAGGCACCCTCCTTCCCAGAAGACAGGGCCACTTGTCACTAGAGGAGCCATAATTGGCAGGTGCTGAGGCCCCCGCCAGAGCTTTAGAACAGGCAGGCGGGAGGGAGGGAAAGGGTTCCTGAGGCAGGGGGCTTGGGAGCTGGGCCGGGGGGGAAGAGGGAGGGGGCTGGCTCCAGTGCCCTCTCCTCTGCTCTGCAGGTGTAATTAGCCCTGGCAGATGAAAGGGCGTCTTTGAAAGCGGGTGAGATCCTTGTCTGTCAGCAGGGCGCTCTGGGTGGCATCGGCAGCTTATCCTGAAACCACACACGGCACCAGAGCCGGGCTGTCTGGGCGCTGCCCGGGAGGCAGAGAGGTAGACCCCAGAGGTGTGGGCCCTTGACTCCCCACTCCCCAGTATCTCAGCCCTGAGCACCCTGCCTCTTTGGGCAGGAGCTTCTCAGAACAGAAAATCCTTCAGAGACTGGCAATGCCAATCCCATAGTCTGATGCCCCATCCCTGGGGCCTGAGGGGACATGGTACTCCCTACCCTCCCCCACCAAGCTGGACAGGAGGCCAAGGACAATGGCTCTAGGCAGTCCTTTCATCCTAAGATCTCAAAGCGCCATCTAATTAACCCCACCCTGGTCGGGGACTTCCTCTGGAGTCCCTTTGGAGGGGTGTGGTCTGGGACCAACAGTTCCCAGATCCCAGCTTGGATAGGAGCCTCCAGAGGACAAGGTCTCCCAGAATGTTCATCCTGTTTGGGACCTGGGAGTCTAGAGGGCCAGCAAAGTGGGGGTGCTGACACCTAACTCTGAAAGGGGGGGGCACAAGGGTCTCAGGGGAGCCTACGTTTGAGACCCAAAGAGGACAATCTCTGGTACATCCCGTCCCTCCCCTCACAGATGGGTTCAAACTCAAGCAAAGGGTGATCTCACAACCATGTGGAGTGAAAGAGGCCAGATACAAGAGTACACGGTACCTGACTCCATTTATATGAAGCGCAAAACTAGGCAAAAAAAACCACAACAACGACAACAACAATCTATGTTCTTTGAAGTCAGAATAGTTTCCATTACCTTTGGGGGGGTTAGTTCCGAAGGGGGCACAGCGAGGGCTGTGGGACAGCGGGAATGTTCTGCTCCTTGAGCCGAGTGCTGGTTACCCAGGTGTGTGCACTTTGTGAAAAAGTTCACTCCATATTTTACTTATGATTTACTTAGATCGCACACTTATTACACCTTTCTATATGCATGTCATAGTTCTATAAACGTTTACATTAAAATGTTTTTACACATCAAACCAAAACTTTGTTTTGTGCTTCCTTTAAGGGGCCCTCACATCTGTCTCTTTCCTCAGCGGGAGGATCACAGGGGTCACTCCAGAACCAGGACCTGGTGAAGCCAGATTCCTGGAGAATTTCTTGACTGGGGGAGGGCGGCGCCCCGCGCTAAGAAGGGGATGGGGGAGGTGAAGCTGTACAGAGTCAACACGTTGGTCTAGGATTCATCCCCTACCTCCCCTCCCCAATACTCACACAAACACACTAATCAGTTTTAGTTTGCTGAAAGCCAATGGATGCTTTGATGCCAAGGGAGCCAATGAGATTGCCAGAATCCCTCCTCTCCTCTGCCCCACCCCCTCTATCGGCTCCTGAAATCCATTCCCGGTTGGGTTCCACCCTCCCCCCACCCACCCATGGTCAGTTCTGTCCCTTTCATCTCTCTCCTCTGCTTCAGGGCCTAAAAGAGGTAGCTGGGGAGAGGCGGAGGGGTGTTTGTGAAGGAGGCTTTGGTCCCCACCTCATCAAAATGACATCCTTGCGTCTTTGTCCGTCTCTGCCCTGGAAAAGGGCAGCAAGCACTGCTTTCCTCCACTGCCACTGAGGGAGAAGGCTTTGAGCTGGACCTTCAGGGCAGCTTCCTGATAACAAGCATGTTAAGTCCTGGAGAGAGGGGCCCTTGGGTGGCTCAGTCGGTTAAGCATCCAACTCTCGATTTCGGCTCTGGTCATGATCTCACAGTTCGTGGGATCAAGCCTGCCATCAGGCTCTGCCCTATCAGTGTGCTATCAGCACGGAGCTTGCTTGGGATTCTCTCTCTCCCTCTCTCTCTGCCCCTCCCCTGCTCTCTCTCTCTCTCTCAAAATAAATAAACTTAAAAAAAAAAAAAAAAAAAAAAGAAGGCCTTGGAGAGAATGAGAATAGAACCAGGACAGAGATGAAGGTTGCTTTGAATACTGACCTGCCTAGAGATAAGATGTCCTTACAGGTTCCTAGGCTTGCTAGGTTTCCACTGCAATGAATCTCTCAACCAAGGGCTCCTAAATGTGTGGGTTTGCTAGCTGGTACCCCAGAACCCATAGCAGCCATAGCTGCTACTGAAATTAGCAGCTGCTACAGCCATAGCAGATACTGAAATTGCCTGTGTTGTGTGACCTCAGGAGGGACTCAACCTTTCCTGATCTGAACTCAGGGGGTGTTCCACTGGTCTCCACTGGTTTGAGTGACCGGTGACTGGTCGCCCCTGGTTTGACAGTGTCCGTAATCGAACGTACTAGAGCTCACCTTCTCTAATTTTCTGGCAGAACCCAGTGCACCCAGAACTCATCTTCTCTAAGTAGCTCCCCTACAACGTGCTGAGAAGAGGGATTTGTACTCTTCTGATCTTCCTTCTAACAGGCAGAGTCCATAACCTTCTTAAGTATTCCCAAGGATCTGTGTTCGTTGTATTCATTAATTGAATCAGAAGCATCCAGAACAGTGCCTGGCACATAGTAGGAGCTCTAACACATTTAGTGTTTGACGAGTGGTTCTTATGCTTGGAAAGCCCCTCCTCCAAAAGCCCATCCTGCATCCCTATTGCTGACATTTTTTTTAAGTTTATTTGTTTGTTTGTTTGTTTAAGTAATCTCTACACCAACCTGGGTCTCCAACTCACGACTCAGAAATCAAGAAATGCATGCTCTTCCGACTGAGCCAGCCATGTGCCCCCTATTGCTGCCATTTAAATTGTCAGTTGTCGGGGTGCCTGGGTGGCTCAGTCGGTTAAGCAGCTGACTTCGGCTCAGGTCATGATCTTACAGTTCATGGGTTCAAGCCCTGCGTCATGCTCTGTGCTGACGGCTCAGAGCCTGGAGCCTGCTTGGGAGTCTGTGTCTCCCTGTCTCTCTGCCCCTCCCCCACTCACCCTCCGTGTGTGTGTGTGTGTGTGTGTGTGTGTGTGTGTGTGTGTCTCCCTCAAGAATAAAAATTTTTCTAAACTGTCAGTTGTCCTGGCCTCAGAAGACAGGGGTCATCCACCATCAATTATGATTGAGCGCCTACTGTGCGCAAGCCTTTGTGATATGTGACTCTCTTCATAATTTGTCTTGGCTCATCCAATGCCTCTTACTGTGTGTCCTGTTGCCTCCCCTTCAAGTTCAGCCTTTATGCAACTGTAGTGGTCTATTCTACAAGACTTACCCAAGATTTAATAAAATATAACAAGAGACAAGAGGCTTGCTGTATTTGCTCATTCTATTTCTTTTCTTGTCTTTTCTTGTCTTTTCTTTTCTTGTCTTTTTTTTTTTTTTTTTGTCTCCATGTAAGAGAAATGAAAACTCCATTCCTCTGTCCTTTCCTCGCTGTGTGCCTCGGGCTCACTGCGTAGCCTTCTCTGTGGCCCATGTCTCTGTTTCTTTGAGGGAGTCTCTCCCTTTATCTTGGGGGAGTATCGCTGTTTCTTCTTCGGTGTGTGGGTGTGTCTGCTAACTCTCTGGCTGGCTCTCTCTTCTCCTTCTCCGTTTCCTTTACAACAGATAGGTAAACAGGTGACTGAGAAATAAGCAAAGGAAAAAAAAAGAAGCTGGAGTGGAGTGTTTTCTCCCAGGTATCAGGGTCGCAGGTAGCTCCAACCCTAACTGGGAACAAGTCCCGACAGGTGCAACTCCTGTCCAGATGTTGTGCAATGCTAGGCGCGTGCCCGGAGCCCCATCCTGGGTCTGGTTCCCGGGCTGAGGACGGGGGGGGGGGGGGGGGATGTGCATTCAGACCAGAAATATCCTTTCAGGTCCCTGTTTGAGAGACAGACCCCCGCCAGGTCTGGTCTGCCCCTCCCCACCCGGCCTTGCGGGGTTGCAGGGGGCCATAGGGGAAGGCCGAGAGGTGGCTTGCCGGAAGAGGCCAGTTTGGGACCTGGGAGGGGAGTTCCCTGCGTCTGGGCCGTGGGGGGAGCTGCAGGCCGGCGGGGTGAGTAAGGCCCAGCGGACGCAGGAGGCTCAGTGGCGGCGGCGGCGGTGATGGGGAGGAGGGTAATTACGCAGGGAGGCTCTCGCCACAGCACGTCCCCACAAATGAGAGGCCCCGGGCCCCAGACACCACACAACAAAGCAGGAGGCAATTATTTGGCTCCAGTGGGAGGGGACAGCCCTTCGCCGGCCCACTGCCGCTGAGGGCGCTGGGGTGGGGGTGTAGGGGCCCCTCTCACCAGCCCCCTGTGAGCTGGGGAGGGCCCCGAGGGACTCCTGCTGGGTCACCCTCAGAGGGGGTCCGGGTTTAGGAAGGCAGAGCGGTGGGAGGCCCTGGGCATGATTAGAGCCATCCCTCAGCCAGCCAGGAGACTCCCACAAGGCCTCAGGGAGGCCTCCTGGGCACCCCACAGGGGTGAGGCCAGGAGAGCCTGGGGGCCCCGTCTGGAGGCTGGATCGCGCGAGGCGTTTTGTTGGTCCTGGGGAGGCCAGTGGCCAGTATCTGAACCCCCACTCCCTTCCCCAGCTGTGGCCACACAACTGGCAACCAGGAGGCTCTGGGGCAGGTGGGGAAACCACAGAGGAGGGAGCAGGAGCCAGGGAGATTCCAGAGCACGTGGCCAGTCCTGGAATTCACACAATTGATATGCAAATCAAACGCAAATTTGTCCTCTTTCCACCACCACCCCTCCCCCAAAAGTCAGCAGATCAGGCCCCGGTGGAAGCAGACCTTGCCTGATCAGCTGAGGGTACCCCGGCCTCTTGCCGGCCTCCCTCTCCAGTCCCCCCATGTTTGCTACAAGAAAGCTGTCAGCAACTCCTACCAATACCTTGGATTCACGTGGGACCTTCCTGCAAAGGACTTTCCCCTCCTTGATGAAAAAGCCCAGAGTACAGATGGAGAAAAAGAGGCCTTAAGAGATTCAGGTACTTTCCCCCCCGGGTTCTAACAAAACACCTGGAGGATGGCAGGGCTCCTGGAACCTTCTGACAACAGCCCTAGGTTATCAGCATGCCAGATGGGGGAGGAGAAAGTACAGGACTAGGAGCCCTAAAATCTGCTCCCTGGTCTCTGCTCTGCCCCTAACTTGCTGGCTCATCTCAACCCTGTCACTCCTCTAAGCCTCAGTTTCCCTGAATGTCAAATGACCATCTCTGGACAAAAAGGCTCTTCCGGACATGGAGTCTCTTTTTTGCACCGGGGCCATCCAGTGTTGCTGCTAAGAGGCCTCTGAGCCAACTGTCCTCTTCCTTGTCCTCCCCAGTATTACCCTCACTGTCCCAGGCAAACCAAGGGGTGACCTAACCCCTAACCCCTGTCTTTCTCTGTCTTCCACACCTCACTCAAAATCCACTTGAGGGAGCCTCCCCTGATTAATTCTGCTGAACTAATCGCTCCTTTCTGCTGGGGCCCCCTCCATCTATGAAGGGCTAGGCATTCACAGCTGTCCTCTATGTTTACCCTCATTCGTACATTGCTGAAAGAGCTCCTAAGTAATTTTGAGAATATGTGCGATGTCCCATTGTGCCCCTCCCTCACTCCAGGGTGGAGGCAAGGATTGTGTTCCCCCCCTACGAGACTGGGGGCTTCCCAAGGACCTGGGTTGTGTCTTGGGGAAAGAGAGCCCCCATCGGGGTGGGACTGTGTCTCTGCCATCAGATTAGGACTTTTCTGCCTCCTCTATCTGCCCCAGCCTGGATTTGGCAGGAGCCTTTCGACAGTGAGGAGGGACCCGGACAGCCTGTGTCTCCCTCCTCTCCATTGGCTGATTTC